GAATCAAGCAGAAGGAATTAAACCAATTAAGTGTAAACATTAAATTGGGTATCTTCATTCATCATGCATGGTGAACCAATACGGGCCATATTTCAAAATGATGGGCCTTATTTTTTTTTTCCTATTTAAATCAGATTATAGATGTTTTAATCATATAACAAAAGCTTTACTTCAGTTTATCCAAAAAAAAAAAAGCTATACTTCATCTTCACGGGTCTAGAACATTAACATTGCATTGACTACAACAATTTCTTTCATATATCATGAAACTTTTAATTATTTTTGAATATAAAAGAAATATAATATGTTTCATTATAATACTATAAAGTATAAGCTCCGGCACATAGGGAGTGAATGCTAGTTACTTCAAAATTAGAATAAAGTATCAACATATTTTTGTAATGATTCTTTTTATTGATAAATTTTTTAATAATTCCACACTTCATTGACTCTTGAAAATACGCAGGAGATTTGAAAAAACTAACTACAAACTTTTTAATTAAACTTGTCTATAATTTAAACTGTACAATAGTTTTCTTATTTTTTTTATGCATTATCCTAAGGCTATGTTTAACTATAAAAAAGTTTTCACTTGAGTAAGAGTAAGATAAATGTAACATCCCAATTTAAATTTTAATAGTTAATTTGGGTTAATAGAAATTTAAAAAAATAATATTTAGAGGTAAGAAAATTAGTAAGAGATGATTATTAAATCTAACTTAGGATATAATTCTAAAAAAATTAATTAAAAAAATTAAAAAAATAAAAAAAATAAAAAAAAATAAAAAAATATTATTAAATTATTATTATAATAAAAAAAAGGGAAAACGTATTAAAAAAAAAGGGGGAAGAAGAAGAAGAACAAATTGCTTTTGGCGCCGCGTCATGATTACATAAAATAATAAAAAAAAGGGGAGAGAGAGGAAAGAAGAAATAATATAAAAGATGTGAGACCCACTGAATTTTTATAAAACTCACCTGTTTCCTTTCATTTCTTCAATTCTTTTCCTGCGCGCGAGTTGAGGCGGAGAGAAGCGAGTCGCCGGTGCAAAATATCTAAATTTTTAACGTAAGAATTTTTAATAGGATATTTAGGGTGTGATTTTAAGCTTTTCAAGACTAAGTAAGTGTTCTAAAAATTTTTCTTAGTCATCCTTCTTCTTTGGTTTCTGAGTTTGTAGTGGTAGAAAATTTAAGATCTGGAAGAGGGATGAATTTATGTTGAATAAATATAATTTTTGAGGTTGTCAGTAGTATAATAAATGTTCTAGAGTATAAATTTATTGATGATCTTTGAATCTGTGGCTTATGGATCAAATTCTAAACTAGATCTGAAAATATATGTTGATTTATTGAGGTTTAGATGATTATTTGGGACGAGAAATGAATTATTATGGTTATAGGATTATGATTCTAAGCTAGAGATTTAATTTTTAATTTTTTGGTATTTTAGGTACGAATTTATGAAATAAAAAGAAAATTTTGATAATAGAAATTAGTTTAGAAGTTGATTTTTAGATTATTAATGTTTATTGATAATTAAAAGAGGAGTTAAAAATTTTACTTAATAGTATTAACTATAGATTTGTATTAAGATTGAAATTAAGAATTATATTATATTTTTAATTTTATTATTAGAATTATTTTATTAGTTTCAAAAATTGAAACTAATATTTATAAATAATATGTTATTTGTAGATTGTATTACTGGTGAAAATTGTGGTGAGAGAGAAATTTTAAGGAATAATTTATTGAAAAATCCACAAGGTAACCATGCTTTTAATTTGTGATTAGTGTTACTTCATGTTAATTGGGTGATTATTGAAAAAATTATAAATTTTGTAATATTATATAATTGTGCAATATTATTATGAATTTATTTGATTATTGTGGGAGGTGTTGGGAGACTTGCTATTGTTGTTGTATTTATGTGCCACGTGATACGCCCCTATTGGAGCTCAATAGGTGGCTTGTAAGGGCTCGGGCTAATCTACCTTTGGTCGGGTAATTTAGCACCGAGTGAGAGCTACGGCTTGAGGTTAATGAAGGGATATAAGGATGGTTGTTTGTGTGTATTGTAATATTTCTTATATTTGTTGGAATTATATTATTTTTAATTCTCACTTAGTAAGCACACACTTAACTGTTTGTATACACTATCATAAATTAATTTTGGTTACTGGGACTTTTGAGTCTCATTGTGTGGTTAACAATTTTCAGGAGAAGAGCCACGAGTGACACGTGGAGGAGTCCCAGAGGCTTGTGGTATAGATCCACTGTCTCTTTTGGGTATTTAATTTATGATTTATAATGTGTTATATTGCCAATATTAGGGCTTTTTGTTTATTGTCAATTATATGAATATATAAATGTAATCATGCCTTTCAAACTATTTCTATTTTAGTACAATTTGGATAACTGTAATTTTAATATTTGGTTTACTTTGGATTGGTTAAAATGGCATGATTATAAGGCCAAATAACTGGCTTGTGTTGAAAATTGACTAAATTACTTATTTTACTTATTGGGAGTATAAGGATGGACAAATGTGATTTAGTTTACTTGTTGGGAGTATAAGGATGGACAAATGTGATTTAGCCTAATGGCATGTGGGAGGTAAAAATTTATCTGAAATGCTATAGTGTGTGAGTTGAAGCCAATTATAAAATATTTTATATTAAAATTATTGATATAAAAATGTGTTGGGTGGCTGTAACCCAACTATGGTTGAGTTAAATTATTTTAAAAAAAAATTTTGGTGTGTTACAATAAAACTTTTGTACTATAATTTTAATAAGAGGTTGATCAGTTGTAATTTAGAAGTAAAATTGAGAGGTCAAATTATATCTCAAATAAAAAAAATTAAATATTTAGAAGCTATTATTTAACATGATAGGAAAAATGATAGAGATATTGCATATAAGATATAACTTGAGTAGTTTAATCGGAGAAAAGCTAAAAGAGTTACTTACAATCATAAGGTACCTAATAAACTTAAAAGAGTGTTTTTATCGAACTGTTATAAGACTAGCTATATTATATGGTAGTGAATGTTGAGCTATAAAATTAGAGTAGCAAATATGATAATGTTAAGATGAATGTGCGGACATACATATAAAAATAAAATCTAAAATGAGCACATATGAGAAAAAGTGTGTGTGGCATTAATTGAAGAAAAAATGATAGAAAATCGTCTAAGATTGTTTGGATATGTAAAAAGAACATTGTGGGAGGCACTTGTTAAAAGAGTAAAACAGATAATTTTGAATCTTATTAAGAGGGGTAGAGGAAGGTTAAAGAGAATACTTTTAAAAGTTATTAATTGAGATATCTTAGTTAACAATATTTTTAAAAATTTCATCAATGATAAAGCAGTTGTTATTATCCTAAGGCTATGTTTGGTTCAAGTGAGAAGAAGGGGAGGAGAGTGTTTTTACCTTACACCATTTGGTTTAATTGGAGGGGAGGGGGAGGACTTTTAATGATTCATTATTTGGCTTAGGAGATAAAAGGGAGGTAACAACTAATTTATAATCATAATCTTAGACATTAGTTTAAATTTTTTAATTATTCCTTATATAAAATATGACTTTGCACTTTAATTTAAATTGTATACTTTGAGAATGCACTATCATCCTAGTATACTGTGAATATCTGTGTAAAAGAAATTAAACCAATTAAATAATATTTTTATAAAAAAAATAAATGATAGAGACCCAACCCAAGAAGGCCAGACGGAGAAGCAAAATAAATGCTGCGTGGAGAATTCAGCTTAGCAACTTTGACTCATCGTCCTCCTCAACTAGTGATTGTCACGGGGCAGTAAAATTGAATGAAGAAGACTTGACATGGATTAGAGTGGACATGGACATTTAAAATATCACTTGAAAACTGAGACCATGTTAGTCATAAAATCTTGCTCATCTCCCAAAAACTCCAATTTTAAAGGGAGCAATATGAAGGGAGGAGAGCTTCCCTTCGCTCCAACAAACACTAACCAAATGCACCTTAAATAATGCCGTTAGTGTAGTATTTTGGTAAGCAACTTCCTCAATACAATGAACTATCAATGTGGTTTTTGGAATATTTTCTTTCATGGACGGAGTCGAAAAAAGAAAAAGGGAATGCTTTTGATTTTTCTTTTCTTAATTCAAGACCTGACTGAGGTTTTTTGTGAGTGCAATAAAAATGTATTAAAGAAAAATACTACAAAAGATGTAAGTAGACAAGTCAGACCTGCACGCCCCGTCTGTTATTTGACAAGAAAAGCTTGATATGCCCTAAGTCTCTAGCGTAAGAGAACTCTTGTTTTTGTTTTATTTTAAATAATCAGCATTTATATTCTGGGTGTGCTACATTAATCACACAAAGCTCCTGTTACTAACTTCTGTCGACTAATTCCCACGTCTCATATACCACATTTTTATCTCCATATTATCTCTTACAAGCATTATATTATCACACCTGACACTCCTGTCCCATCGTTGATTTGTTCAACTACACGTTTCTTCACTTGCTCGGCCTCTTCAATTCCCAAAGATTTGCATTTATCTCCCTTGGGTTCCAAGAAGGACCATCTGAAAACGTATTTTCCGATAGTCTTTGTTATTTGAGATTGAATTTCCCCCCCTTTTTTTTCCAAACAAAAAACTACAAAGGCACTTTCTCCATTACCATCTAGTTCCAGTGAATAGTACGAATCCCATTCCTTAAACAAATTATTGAAAGTTAAATTCCAACTTTTCCAAAGCAATTATCCAAGTAATAAAGAACTCAACTCCCGGCCCCTTCAGTACACAGGAAAAGGTCACTGGGCTCAGTTGCTGAATATCAAAATTCAAGAACCCGTTCAAGTGAGGTTCTCTGTTCTGCAGAAAAAATTTCACTTAAATAGACACTTCCGATCACTCCAAATTTTCAATTCTCGCTTCGTAACCAGTTGACGCTAGCCCCTCATCTCTCATGCTTTGAGCAAAAATGACTGAATCTAACGATGGAACTTGAGGATCAAGGCGCTGTCATTTCATTTACTTGAAATAAAAACAAGGATAGTGCCACAACGGTTACAATATCCCTACGAAACAAAGATACAGACTATCGACTACATACAGAGATAATAATTTCATTGCCAATACAGAGTTTAAGCCTTCTTGGGCGACTTCGTGGCTTTGGATGGGGATTTAGGTTCCTTGACCGCCTTCTCATTTTTCTTAGGCAGTAACACAGGATTGATGTTAGGCAAAACACCACCATGTGCAATTGTTACTCCAGCCAGAAGCTTCCCTAATTCTTCATCGTTCCTCACCGCTAACAGAACATGCCTCGGGATGATCCTATTTTTCTTATTGTCCCTAGCAGCATTGCCCGCCAACTCCAGAACCTATAAACATAATAATTGAATGTGAGATCATCATGCAGATTACTAACTTCAACACAACTACTCCCGGACTCAATTTACTAGTCTATTAAAGAAAAAAAAAAAATCCCTGAGCACTCCAATTGTTGTTCCCACATATACAAATTCAGACAGATTCAATTTTTTGGGCCCCCAAATAAACCCTAAGATAGTATGTAGAAATTCCGAAGGAAAACACTAGAAGTAGAACCAGAAAGATCAATCAACGAGCTGGATAGAATGGGGGCCAAATTTAACCTCAGCGGCAAGGTATTCAAGAACGGCGGCGAGATAAACAGGAGCTCCAGTTCCGACGCGTTGAGAGTACCTTCCTTTCTTCAAGTACCTGCCGATCCGTCCGACGGGAAACTGTAGACCAGCTTTGACGGACCGAGACACCGGCTTCTTTTTCGGACCGCCTCCCCTCCTTCCTCCGGCGCCTTTCTTCAACTTACCACCGGCATCCATGAAGCGAAAATTAAATAATGACTAACACAGCCCCAGAAACAGAGAAAAAAATGAGAAGTTAATCTCCAGAGCAAATCTTAAAAAATTGCGTGGGCAAGCACTACAATATATCGGGTCGAGCATTTATACTACAGGTATAGCGCGGGGTAGGGGGCACGCCGGTTTTGCGCCTGCTTGATGGTAAGCCGTCGGATTTCAAGGGAATCTACGGTTTCAAATATTGACACTGGCAGTCCGTGTGCTGCACTGATAACCAATGATGATACGCCGCGTGTCCATAGCAGATGTAGAATGAATATAGATTCTGGCAAGAAAAAATAAATTAATTAAAAAGGAAAAAGAACATGAAAAGCAAAAAAAAAAATATAAATAGATGGAGAGTGCGAATCTCAACCATCAAGTGATCAGTGTTTAACATAAGTTCTGTTTTTAATCTAATCGCCGCTTTAAATTTAAATGCATCATGCATCATGCCTTCCTCCCCCCTTGCATCCTTCTCTCAAGTTTATACCATTAAAGAATAATCCACAATTCCACAGGGTTTTAGGGGGAAATCTCAAATACTTCGACAGTTCAACTTTCATATTGAAAATGTTTTGTTCCAATCAAATAATGATATATATAAATATATATTAATGTTAAAACTGTTCATCCCTTAAATTTGTTTTGATTATTAATTTAAAACCCGATTCATTAAAAAATATAAAGTATTTTTTTGAGAGGTTAAATGTTTAAAAATATAAGGTATTTTTTTATATTTTAAAGTATAATTATTATTTTTTTCAAAAACACTATAATAAATAAATCACTTCATATTTATTTAAGAATAGAACACCTTATTAAATAGAGGTATAAATGAAACTACAGTATTAATTTAAAAATAAATAATTACTTTATTAGAGGATAATATTTGATTAAAAATATTTTATAATTTTAAAAAGAGGAAGTATGTTGAGTTTATTTTTTATCAATGATTTCTGTAGTTTTATAATTAACATTTAAATTTTTTAAAATTAAGATTTAAAAATTTCATTTTTAAAAAGATATAAAAAATTTATTATTTTATAAAAAATTATAAAATATAATAAAATGATAAAATAAAAAATTACACAAAAATATTTATGAATTTCAACTTTAGAGAATTTAAATTTTTATAACATAGTAAGTACATAGTTATTTTGGGCCCAAATATATGTAATGAAGCCCAACAATGGTTATTGGGTCCGAACCTTGGCAATCACTAGAGCTATGCATGAAAAAATCGTTGAAAAGCTATTACACACGAATTGTTTTTTCTTGTTGTTGGGGCTTCGAAGCACACGAATTGAGTTTTCTCAGCTTGTTGTCGGATGTTAAAACTCAATATAGTAAATAAATTTAAATTTAAAATAAATAATTAATGAAACTCAACAGTATACATGGGAAACGTAACAAAACAACCACATTTGAGCTTTCGTAATTGAAAAATGTTTAATCACATAAGAAGTTTCGTATAAATGGTTTGAAAAGCAAGACGATTTATACAAAAAAAGAATACCAAGACCGATAATGACGTGGATCGGGTCAAAAATATCCCGAAGCACCCACAGCCGCTGGAAGAGGGCACTATATGATCGAAACGTGTACGTTCCGGATTTGGTCTCCTCAACAAACAAATTCTCGAACAATTTGATCATTGACCTAAAAGATTCCTCTGATATAAATAAGAAATCTGAATCTATCCTTCATCACCGTCATCCTAATCCAATTTCTGATCACACTTCCTCCCGTTCCTTTTTCAGACGAAGGGATGTCTGCTGTCTAATTAGTAGCAACCTTGATTTCTCAGTTTCTGAATTGATCAGGGTCGAGGCCTTCAATTTCCTTTGCGGTTTCAGTTATCTTCAATCCAAAGCTGGTTTGATAGTGAGGGTGGAGAGGTTTTTGATTTGTTGGTTTATGAATTAGGGTTTCGAAGAGCATAGAATAATGCCTTCGGTACCCATTGAACTAATGCTGCGTCCTTTCTTTCCTTCTTTGACCAATTTCCATGGTGGATCCTCCTCTCATCGTCTGAAACGTCTCGAAAAAGGTGATCGGCGTGGTAATCTTAGTTAACAATAGGTTTTTTTTGTCTTTCATTTCCATTTTGTTTGTTTTGGCATCCTATTTGTGGACACCGGTTTTGGTTTCTTCTCGTTTGACGTTTGCACGTACGAGCTGCAAGGGAATCCATATAGAGATTGGGGATCGAGGATCGATCTATTCGGTTTCTTGGTTTCGTGTCACTTTCAATATCTGTGAAAGCTAAGCTTGCGGCGACTTTTTATTCTGAGCGTTGTTGATCTGAAAGCCGGCGCTCAAGGTATATTTGCATATGCCCACGGTAGACTTATCTTGTTTGATTCTGAATTTTTTTTTTTGAATAATTACTATGGGATAGACTAATTGCTGAATGCTCTCTGTTGTGAATCGAGTATATGTTCTGCCTAATCTTTAATTCACTAGGTGGTGCGATCGGTTGCAAATTCAACGACAACTTCCCGCTTTGTCTTCTCAATTCACCTTTTAAGTTATTGCTGTTGCATCTGTGATGTATGTTAGTTGTTTTCACTTTTCACTTGCTGTATAAACTGGTACGTCATGGCCCAGCCATTGTTTTCAACTTTCATAGTTGAGGAAAAGCTTTCTTGTTCAGTCCTTCTAGTGTCCTAAGGTTTGGGTAGTCTGACTGATTAGTGACATTTAGAAAATCGACATTTTTCATTTCTTCAGGAATTAGGAACCTAGTTGTAAAATATTTGTTCTTGGTACAAGAGTAGACGAAGGTTTGACAAACTACTCCAATGCTTCATTAGTAGACCTCTCTCCTTACTCTAGGATATTTGTGTTTAGAAACGACAGGAGGAGTCTGATGCTACTAGTCATGAATTGTCTTCTAAAACTGAGACTGTGGACCCTTTGTCCAAAAATTATGTTGAATAAGAGGTTGTCGCCCTTTATGGTCAGGTAGCACAGGAGACACAATAGAGTGCCCACCTATCATCACCTCATCTCTTATGGTCATGCTCAATATATTGTATTAAACTGGCTAGTACCACCTTAATGATACTGATGATTGGCTTATTTCATGTGATTTTGCATGTATAAGCACCTTGACATCAGATTTCACCACCACATTGCTATTACGTATTTAATATATCCTTCCATTTGAAATTTATGCTTATGAATTGATTATGCATGTATTTCTCCATAAAATCTCTATAGCTTGTGGTCTTGCTCAGCATCATCACATGACCTTCCTGTTCTGCACTACATTTTTACGTTTTTACCATCTTTAGCTCATTGATATCTTCCTTGTTATGGAGAAAAATTTGCCTGGCCTATAGGTGAAGCATATGGTGATATCTTGTTTGTTTTTTTTTTTTTTCAATATGTGCAGAGTAATTATCTCTTTTTTTTTCCTTCTTTTCTTCTGATTATAATAATTTGCCTTCTCTCTTTCCCTGTAGCACTTGATGCAATCGATGGACCTGCACTCTCCAGCTAATGCTGCAGATAACAATTTTATAAGTACCCTTGAAAGTAGTTTTAGTGAGTCATTGCATATTCAAGATGATCAGAAGTCAGAAAATCATCTGGAGGGGGATTGTAACTGTGATGTGGTGGAGTGTCTGTCTGGAGGTTTTGAACAAGAAGATGCGGAACTAAATAAGAAGTACTTGAACAGATGTGCTACATTTCCTGATCCAATGATGTTACCTCCAAGCTCTTCAGATGCTGAAGATGAGAAGGCTAATATGTCATCGACAGAGTCCCTCTGTAAGCAGCCTGCACGCCAAACCTACTCACGATCAATATCTCTGCCTGTAAGTTCTCAATGTTCTTACGTCTGCATATTGTTTTGATGACACATAAATTGCGGGAAACCTCTCATGTTCAATTTGCAATTTATGTTTCTCTCTATTCCTCGGGAATTACTGAAGAAAATCCTAGCAGAGTGAAGCATTTAACTTGTATACAATTCAGTCAGGTATTAAATCTGGATAGTTGCTTTTAGATGCCAACATGAATACCATTTATTGCAGTGTTGTACTTTCTGCATGTACACAAGCATTTCTGATTTATTGACACATTGAAAATGGAAGTTATATCCAGCAATTCACAATGTTGTTCTTATCATGTAAAGTGGAAGCATGTGGTTTGCATGTAGCATTTGGGGTTTTACGTGTAGTGTGGTTTATTTGAACAATACTTGAGTGTGATTATACCGCAGTGTGGATAATTACATACTTCGAATTTTATGGACATTTTTGTTTGTTCTGGGATTTGGAAAAGTATCATGCTTATTTAGTTATTATTTGACCGAAAAAAGACCCAAAACATTATGACACTTCATAGCCCATTAGTCTAACGCGTATTCTAAGTTTCTAACGGACATGGGTGTATTAAGAACAGCTGTTTTTCATTTGTTTTGTATTTCTAAAAAAAAGTTTTTGGCCAAAACTTCTTATTTCTTAATGGCTTTGATTTTCTTAATGCCGTGCACCAGACTCCTTTGAAGCTTGTATCTGCAATGAAAGGTAGCCGTGAGAAGCAGGGGGGATCGCAGATGAAATTGACCGTGAAATGGGCCCCTGATGTGTATGATCCTGTGCCTACATCATTATCCCATACCGTTCAAAACAGGAAACAGCAGAAATCCAGGAACAAGAAGAATGATAAGAAAAATGGAAAGAAAGGTCAGAAGGGAAATTCTTCTCGAGGGGGCAAGGATAAAAAGCAGTTTCGCAAGACTTCTGGGACTTCTGATTTGTGCTACAAGCTGCCGGATTCTCGTGATAAAGTGATAGAAACGTCAACTGGCTTTGATGCTCTTGATGTTTGTTCGCAAGATTCCTATTGTGGAACTAACTTCTTAAAAAATTCACTTACCAAAGTACATTTTTCAGTTGCAGAAGCCCAGTAAGCCACGTCTCGACTGTTCTTATTTCCCCGTTGTGCGTAAATAAACATTTTCTTTCGCCCAGCAAGTCTGGAACTTGGAAAACTTCGGATTGTATGTGTTAGTTCGGTTCTGTTTTCGTGTATGAATTTGTGCCATTCAGAAAGTGGCCTGCTTTGGTTTTTCGTGTCATACTCAGCAACCCTCATTTATTTCGAACTTTCCGATTCAAAGTCTTGCCACACTATCCAGTAGATGTAATTCACCGTGATTAATTTCCAATATCCAGAAAAAAGTTTGAAGACCAGCGTAATGAATCAGGAGGCTATGTGGGATGATTACACAATAAAGGAATCTCCTGTTAGTCCATTCGTGTGCTTACTGCCATACATTTATTATATACCAATTTCGGTGGTTCAAATCACGAGTTTGAACCTCCTCCATTTCTTTCGCAAGTAAGACGTCTCGCACGTCTTTATTAAACTGATACCAAGTTTCGAGGTGTTTTTGGAAGAAATGCAGTCTTTGCGGAAGGCGGACGCTGGACAATGGTCCTCAAAATACACAGATCAGGCGAAAGGATGAGGAATAGGAATATCATTTATCGTACGTCCTGATTGCGACTTCACCGTACATAATTGGAGGGCAAGTGATACGAAAATACGAAATACAAGGACATGAGACAAACATGTTACAGGCAACCGCCTGAGGAAAACGGGCCCAACGCAGTGAAAATAAAATCTACTCCAGTCGCATCACACCCTGCTCCAATTTTGTTGTCATTTTCATTGTGCTAAAGATCACTTCAACTTCTGGGGCATTTGCATACAAATCAAAGGGCGATATTTATAAAAAGGGGCGAAGGGCTATTTTCGAATAGACCTTCTCTAAAACTAAGCTATGGCGGAATGCTCTGTCTTCGAAAGCTGCCCCAAAGACGAACCACCACCGCATCCCGATGATGATCGTTCCAAGAAAAAGGTTAAGATCAGGGGTGATGAAGGAACTGATATAGACGATATGGATGCAGATTTTGATGCCGACTCCTCAAATGATGATTCTCACATATCGGCAACTATCTCTCCGGGGATGGTTCCTAAGACTCAAGCCGCTACTACTGTTCTATTGACATCAGATGAGCATGCAAGTCCAGAAATGGCCATGGAAACGTCCCAGGGAGAACGTATGCCAGCTGCAATCCCAGTTCCTTCTTTCAAAGACAAGCTGCTCAACAAGGCTAACGATGTTCCTGAGGAGGATGATGATATCAAGCTCGATAAAGATGATGTCGTTATAGATGTCCGCGATAGGGTTCCGTCGATAAGTTTTTCATCTCAAGTCTTAGGAGTACTTGACAAGAAAATGGGCTTTGCTGTGATTATTAAGCTGTTAGGAAGATCTATTACCTACAGACAGTTGAGAATGCAACTTTAAATTGTTTGGAAACCATTCGGGCAATTCCAACTTCCTGACTTGGATGATGAATGTTTCCTGGTGAAATTTCAAGATGAACTTGATTTCCAGAAAGTTTTATTTACTGGGCCATGGATGATTTATGGTCATTACCTAACGGTACAGCCATAGACGCCCACCTTTAAGCCTCAAGATCATGTTATTAATCAGGTTATTGGTTGGGTCCGCCTCCCTGGGCTACCTGCTAGATATTATCATAAGAGTATCATCCGCTCTATTAGTAGTATTTTCGGTCAAGTCATTCGTATTGATTATAACATAAACTCAGGAGATAGAAGGAAGTTTGCAAGGCTTGCTGTCATTATTGATCTCAATAAACCTCTAACGTCAAAGATTCAGGTTGATGGTGAGGAAATTTATGTTGAATATGAAGGTCTCCCACTCATTTGTTATCACTCTGGTCGTTACGGTCATCTTGAAAACTTTTGCCCGGAGAAACAGGTTCCCTCATTGGCGCAACGACAACCTGCAGTGACCGTTGCTCCTCTGGTAAGCTCTAACACTAAGAAGCATTCTAAATATGGTGAGTGGATGCACGCACCTATCCTTAGGGACAGGTATGTCAGAAATGACAGGTACGATAGAAGTCAGCGGCGTGACGAGGTTGCTAATGGGAGAGGCATTACCACGTCCTCAAGGTTCTATGCATTACATTTGGCTGAAGAAAAGGAAGAGCAAAGGCAAGAGGTGTATGATCAACCCAGATCGACCACTTATGGTGAGACCTCTTCTCTGCGACATAAACCAAAGCAGACAAAGGAGCATAAAAAGGCTGCAGGGGAACAACAACAAAAGAATTTATTAGGGTCCACGCCCAGCAAAGAGTGTCTTTTTAATGCCCCAGCCTATAAAACCACCTATGCTCCCACGTCTTTGGACATGGCATCTCATTAGGTTTTCATTGTCCAAGATGGTAGAACCCAATATAGAGCCCGGCAAGAACCTGGCCCAACTTCTCCTTTAGGTCCGCAAATCACTAACACAGTCCATTTCAAGACTAAATGGACAGATGGAGCCTCAGCCTAAGCCACCGGACCCTAGGAATCCAAAAGGGATTCCCCTCTTTTCTGGGCTTCAAATTCATAACTTTAAGGAGAAATCTATAGGGAGTTCCCCCTGCCCCTCAGTGCGAATGTTGAAAGAGATTGCAAGGGGAATTCGCGAGGAGCAGCCTCAACAGCTCAATGAGGAAGACATAGCTATGCTGGTTGATGATGTTGATTTTAACTCAGTCTCTGAGTATTAAATCCTTTATTTATGTCTATCTTTACATGGAATTGTCAAGGAGCCTTTGACAAAAAGTTTCCTTCCACTATGAAATCATTTATTTCTTCTTACAATCCTGACATTTTTGTCATTGTTGAACCCAGAAAATCAGGAAATAAAGCAGATAGAGTCATTAAAAAAATCGAGCTTCCTCACTCTCACAGAATTGAAGCTCATGGTTTCTTAGGAGGGATTTGGGTCCTTTAGACAAACAATGTCCACATCAATGTCCTATTTAATCACTTCAGTTTATCCATATGGAAGTTTGTTTCTTTACAGACAAGCGAAATTTCTTATTCACAACTATTTATAGAAGCCCCCAATCTCGTTTTTGTAAATTTCTCTGGGCGGACATCACTAATCTAGCTCCTCCAACTTCTACTCCTTGGATTATGGCTGGTGACTTTAATGCCGTCTTGAATTCTGTAGATTGAACAGGGGGTTCTGGGAATAATATTCGTGGTTGTCCCATTTTTAATTCTTTCATCCATAATATGGGGCTGATTGACATGGTTTTAATGGCCTACATTACACTTGGAGGAGAGGCACCTTATTGGCTCGTTTGGATCGAGCTCTCTGCAACCAGGCTTGGTTTGATACTTTTAGCTCCAATTGGGTTGATTACCTCCCTAAGATATGTTCTGACCACAAGCCCATTTTAATTCATCTTGGTTCACCTACTTCTTATCCATATCACAAGTCTTTTAAATTTTTTGCTTGTTGGATCACTCACCCTGACTTTCCAAGATTAGTCTATGAAACCTAGGACATATCTCGAGATTTATCCTACAACCTTCAAGCCTTTGCATCTGAAGCCACGATCTGGAATTCTAAGTCTTTCGGTAGCATAGGCAAAAAGAAAAAGAAATCTTTCACAAGAATCCTCGGTGTTCAAAAGAGATTGGAATCCTCACCTCTCTCTTCTCATCTTCTAGATCTCGATCTCCAATTGAGGGAAGAATTTGAGGAGTTATGCTTGCAAGAAGAATTGCTCTGGTTACAAAAATCTTCTTTCGTCTAGGCTTACTTAGGGGATCGGAATACCTCCTTCTTTCACACCAAAGCACTCATTCGAAGGCGACATAATCATATAACCCAGCTTAAATTGAATGATGGTGAATGGATTTTTAATGAGACTTAGCTTTTAGATTTTGCCACTGCCTACTTCAATGACCTATATACTCTGAAGACCCACACTTACTCGCCATATCAGCTCAAAGGTGCATTCCCAAAAATCTCTCATTCATCCGCTGCTTATTTGGCTAAATCCATCTCTTTTGAAGAAGTTAAAAAAGCCCTCTTTGATATGAAACCACTCAAGGCTCCGGGTGCGGACGGGCTCAATGCTTTCTTCTTTTAAACTCAATGGGATGTTGTCGGTCAAAGTTTATTCAATTTTATTATTGAGCTATGGTTGGGTAAACCTCTTGATCCTTGGTTGAATAGGACTCTTATTACCCTCATTCCTAAAGTACATGCACCCCCAACATCTGAAGGAATTTCGCCCAATCAATCTATGCTCAGTAGCCTATAAAATTTGTTACCAAGGTCCTTATAAATCATCTTAGTGAAATTATGGCTGACATTATATTGCCTTACCAAACCAGTTTTGTGAAAGGTAGAAATATCACAGACAACATTATCATTGCCCAAGAAGTAATCTATTCCATGAGGAAAAAATCTGGACGAATTGGTTGGATGGCCATTAAAGTAGACCTTGAAAAAGCTTTTGATAGGTTGAGATGGGATTTTATTGAGGAGACCCTTTGAGATGTGGGACTGCCAAATGTAATGGTAGATTTAATTATCAAGTGCATCTCCACCCCTTCTATGCAAATTTTATGGAATGGTAAGCCCTCTAGCCCTTTCTTTCCTAAGAGAGGAATCAGACAAGGTGACCTCCTATCTCCCCTTTTATTTGTGTTGTGTATGGAACATCTTTCCCAAGCTATTTTGGCTGAAGTTAATAAAGAAATTGGAAACCCATCAAACTGGGGCAGCAATGAATCCCTCTCTCGCACCTTTTCTTCGCAGATGATTTGGTGCTATCTAGGGAAGTCTCTACTGCTCAAGTGAAAGTTATAGATGGAGTTCTAAGGGACTTTTGTATATCTTCGGGGGCAAAAAGTCAGCCCTGAGAAAACTCAGATATATTTCTCCAAAAATGTTGATGCTATTATTGGTAATACAATTTCCAATTCCTTAGGATTCCAAAAAACGGATGCCTTCGGCAAGTATCTTGGAGTTCCCTTAATTAGTAGCCGAGTCACCTCCAAAACTTATACCTACATTATAGAGAGACTTCACAAGAAATTGGCAAGGTGGAAGAGCAAATCTTTATCACTTGTTGGTCAGATCACTCTCGCCAAATCGATCCTCTCTACTATTCCCTTTTACACAATGCAAAGTACTAAACTACCTTCTGCTTGCTGCTCATCTATTGAAAAAATTGTCAGAAAATTCATATGGGGTTATAATGAAGATCATCGTGGCATCAGTTTGGTGAAATGGAAGGAGCTTTGTCAACCCATTCACAATGGTAGGGTATGCCTCCTAGATCTTGCATCTCAAAATAAAGCTTTTCTTTCAAAATTAGCCTTTAAGTTAGTAGCTGAACCTGACCTGCTCCGGTTAGAGTCTTGAAAGGGAAATATGAGATTAGAGGTCTTGTTCCTACTTTAAACATAAACCGAAATCCTCTCGTCTCTGGAAAAACATTACAGGGGTTTGGGATGATACAATGCTACATGTTAAATGGAACCCAGGCAATGGCAAACAAGTCAAATTCTGGAGGGATTATTGGATAGGGGATTTGGGACCCCTTAATCTTCTCTCATATGCTGATATTGACCCTTTGGTTTAGTCAAAGACAATATCTGAGCTTTTAGATGACACTGGACTATGGAAATGGAATCTCTTTCAGGATCATCTACCTCACTCTATTCTCACTAAAATCAGAGAGACCACGATTGATGTTTATTCTGATGTGGGACCTTCTTGCTCATGGAATTTAACAACTCAGGGCAAGTTTACTGTCAAATCTGCCTATCTTGCTTACCAATCCTTAGGTTGGAATGCTTAGGAGGACAAATGAAAAATTATTTGGAACCTACCTGTTGCTCAGCGGGTTCGCACCTTCTTATGGCTACTGCTTCAGGCAAACTTCTTACCAATGAAGAGAGATTCCAAAGGAAGATGACTCATGACCCCGGCTGTACTATTTGCGTCTCACACCATGTCCCAGAAAGTATTGACCATGTGTTTAGAGACTGCTCCTTTTCTGCTACAGTTTGGAGAAAAATTCCACCAGCTGACACCTTTCAGGAATTTTCTAAATTTGGCACTAGTGATTGGTTGTTGAACATCCTTAAATCACCGTCACTGGACACTTCATGGAAGATAGGAATCAGTGTTATCTACTGGAAGCTTTGGGAAGCCAGGAATCTACGGATCATTACCAATGATGCCCCCACAGTGGTGTCTTTTCTCATTAGGATCCATGCAATTGTTAAATGTCACAATTAAAGCCTTCTCTACTTCTATCCATTTGATGTAATCTTGCTCCTTTTGTTTTCTGTCTCCGTATTTTGGGTACCTCTGCACAGTTCTTTATGAGTTAATTCAATCCCTTTTATTCGGAAAAAAAGGGCGATATTTATAAATAATGAGAAGATACCCAAGTGCTGACTGCCGTTGAATTAATCATCATAACGTACAAAATTTGTTTAACAAATCTCACGTTTACACATATTTAGAAGTGAAATTACTCCTTGAAAATAAATTATTTGAAATCGTAGACCTATGATACTTCACAACGCGGAGATCCAGAAGCCCTAAATTATGAGGAAAGGGCCCGAACTTTTTACAATGGTCAAGCAGGGATGAGTCATTACATCCAGCAAGATAAATCTACAACTTACTTTGGCAGTACTATAGCTTGCAGCTTACTAATGCATCGTGAACATCAATCAGACCGTCATGAAGCTACATACTAAAAATTCATAATACAAAAGAATTTTAGCCAGCATGCATGCCAATTTTTTTAAAAAAGGCGGGGTCAGCATGCGCTCTCTTTTCAACTTTCTTTCAAGCGACGTTACGTTTTCGCCATCTTTCACCCTCTCTTCTATACTAGATGGTACAATAAGAACCAAAGACGTAGCTGGTTGCCTACCTAAACCTAGTCACCACCCAATTCCTTTCCCCCCTTTTCCCTTTCAAACGCGAGAGAGAGAGAGAGAAGGAGAGAGAGTAACAGAAATTACAGCGAGGAATGACACTAAAAAAATGAATAAATAACCAACAGGTGGTTACAACACCAGATTCAGGCTTACAGCATCATTCCATCGCCACCTGCACTGTCTTCTCCAGCATCGAAGTCTTATTGAAGAGGGTGAGCTGTACCTCTCTCAGATATTTGGATAACTGGTCAATATCATATATTTGAAATGGTTAGTGACGCGTAAATATATGCTATTGTTTCTTCAAGATCAAATGAGTAGATATAAAACGTTCTGAACACGAGCCATCATGACAGTGTATTTTTGTCAACTGTAATGAGATGAAAACTAAAATTTGAGACACGTTTTAGCTGCGCCAATCGTCTTACACAAATACCTTAACACGCAAATAGTTGAATGCAAACTCGCTGAAGTTTTTCTAATGTAATCAAGCATACGGTAACTCATTACCCTAGCAAAGATCTTAAAATCAAACATTCACGTCCAAGGAAATTCATAGTGGAACCTGTTTGAACAAGGTGGCCAATATCCATGAACAAAAATATTAACGCATTTTTCCTTACTTCCTATCTTCATATTATTCTACACCAATGACTCAAATTCATCACATTCCTAGGAAATCAGATGTAAATATCTACTTTTCATGACCTGTAAAAGCAGAAATAATCTACCTGATCTTCAGTCAGCTTTCGGAAGCCTAGTTTTCTAGTCCAAATTGATTCAGCATCCTCAGCTGCAGGAAGCACCAGCTTTTCCACCTTCAGGGACAACAGCAGCTTCTCTATGCAAGAGAATAACACTTGAAAATAGCCCTAAATAAAATGTGACAATAAGTTAAAGAAGGATTATCCTTGCCACATATATATTCCCTTCTAAAATCAAAGGAAGTAAAGGATTACGGAAGCAAGTAGCCAGTAGAAAGCATTTATAATTCACTGTTTTCCAATTCTGGATCAAGCCTGATCATGCAACGAAGTACTCACTTTTCCTTGATGTTCTCTACTTGTAGCAACCATTGGAAGCTCAGCAACATGACGTCCAAAAATCCTAAGTAGCCCAGCAGATACAACAACAGATCTGTGCAATATGATTCATATTGATGTCACAGATGCCCAATAGATGACGTGCCAGAAAAAACAAAAAGTAAGGAAAAGCCTTTGCACCAAAAAAAAAAAAAATACAAGAAGCAAAGCTACATACTTCACTATTAAAACAACACAATACATCCCCCCAAACTCTTGGCCTGAAATATTTCTCCTGCAAAACAATCAGAATTATATTATTTATCAATAGATATGTCAAGAATGGGTCATGAAACCCAAGCATTGATTGATATGAAATCCTCAAGGCAATGTATAAACATGGTTACAACTTACAAACAACTGTAGTTACTGTTGACCCAAAAAGCATAAGGAAAAAAAAAAAACTACGAATAAGTGGATACTTGTTAGAAAAATAGTCACCCATCACATTCATCCGTATTTTTCATAAAAATAGGCTTACACATACATACATCATAAACCAATACCTGTGTATTGGACGGCTGTGTGCGTGTGTGTGTGGAAGCAAATGCACATACCTAAAAAACCTAATTCTTATGGAGTTCACTGTCTTCCTGGAAATCATTATTAAAAGCCAAATGAAGCACTACCCTTACTGAAACAAAGAACAAGAAATGTCCTGGAAATACATAAGCAGACAGCAAGAATAGCAAATCAACTTGTATCAAAAGAATAGATCAATGACAATCAACAAACAACATAAAATAAACAAGTTGCTTACCCGTAGACCATAACAGGAATCAAGTCACGACCAGAGACTGCAACAATGGGATCAAAACACTCCTGCAAATTCATACATCCCAATACAAGAACTCATTAAGACAAATCATGGAAAACATTCTTTTTAATAGACTGACAGTGCAGTTCAAAAGAAAATAAACCCCGGGGTCACACCTAAATAAATAATGTGAACCAGCATCCTGGACTGCATGACAGAAAGTATAGAATATATTATCTAGTACTTATAGGTCCAATGGAACTTAAGTCATGTCAACAGAATAGAAACTCATTACTGAGGTGAAATTTCAGTCATGGCTAGGACCTATTTACAAGTTCACAGTGCAAAGAGCTGGTGCAGCTTTGAATTTGCAGTGCACTAAATATAGCGAGTACATCTCCAGTTCATACAACATAAAATTTTATTTTATGAATTTTACAACTGTACATATGCATGTACAGGTATAAAATTTTATACACATGCATGCATGTAACATTTTAAGGATTTTAAACCTATACATAAAATTAACGCTCATAAAGCAGTTCTATCAAGTTATAGAAGCTAATAGCATGCAGCATGAGCAAATATGATAACATTACGGCATGTGCCCATATGAAATCAAATATCACAACCGAAATTAAATCAACAGAGGTTCCAATAATGGAAACTCACTCGAAAAATTGCAGCTGCCCGTGAAAGTAATGGTAAGTGTTCAGGATAACGACTTTTTCCGCTTAGAATTCGCCACTGGATATCATCAATGCCTCCTCCATCAATAGGCAAGCCCCTCTCCTCACGCTTCCTATTTATTAGGACTGACAAGCAAGGTGGTATAACCTCTGCTCCAGCAGAAACTGAATTTTGCAGGGCCACATATATTCGATTGCAGTCATCACAACAAAACCACTTGTCCTTGGGCAATTCCTGAGACAAAGATACAATTAAAGATAATTACAAGTATCATAAAAAATTGTCACAAGATTTGCTACTTACTTCCAACTCACATAGCCCACTGTCCCGCAAGCACCCAACATGATACTCCTTCTCACACTGGTTAACAACCAATAACATGCTTACTGAACTTAAAAGAGACACCAAAATACAATTAATAAAATTTTCATCATGTATACGCCATACCTGATCACAAATTATAACTGTTCGCTCATCAAATTTAGCGACACTAAAATCATGCTCCCTGTTCAGAAATCATAAGAAATAATACATGAATATAATCCCATAAATACAGCTTCAAACCATAAGAGGCACTGTAAACAATTTGGACCTGTATTTGTCATGCCGCTACATTTATATAGCATTGCTCAATAAATCCTAAGATACCTGTCAAATTTTTTTATTTCAATAATTTCTTTAAGGAGAATACAATGACCTACCTACAAACAACACAACCACCCATTTCAAATTCAGGTGCTTTAACAACCCGGGTCAACCTTATCTTAATTGGCCTTGCTGTAGAAGATATTCTGCTGCAACCAGCAATATCTCTACAAGTTTGACAAAGCCAACAGCTTTCTGGAGCACATTGTAAACCTAAGCAAACTGCATTGAAAAAGACATTAATTTAATACGGAAAAAATGCATGAGCAAGAGGTTTGACGTCAGGACAGAGAACACACAATAACATGCAATTAAGATATACTGCCTTCTTCCTTGATATTCAATTTCTTTGACATACAAAAGAAAACAGATGGAAAGGTTTATCTGTACCAAAGAGGAAAACAGATGGAAAGGCTCATGTGTTATTCCTTTCCAAAGAAAAAAAGCAGGAAAATGCTGGTGATTACTTCATGTACCAAAATTAGTGCGCACTTAAGAACACCAAAATAAAATTAAACAACATATTTATATACCATGACATTGATTATTCCAAAAGGGATGCCCCAGGGAACAGTTAACATTTTAATTAGAAAAAGATCACAGATAAAAAGTAAAGAAACTAATATAATGCATAGCAAAGATGAGAACATGCACTATGCACTAAAAATAACAATATTAATGTAGCATACCCACCTGCATGAAAAGCCCTAGGGCATCCATTGCAAGGAATCAAATCTCCACCATCTCCGCATATAGCGCACATGTCATCACTATCTCCAGTGGTAAGGTTTTGACCATTTGCTAATGAGAGGGCTATATCGTGAAGTGTTAATCCGTTGGAAGTATATATATGGCGATAACTGAAAAAGTAAAAGAAGAATAAACAAAATGAAGAAAAGTAGACCAGTTCATCAAGTATTAACTACATAGATGCTCAAAGCCTACTCACGGTTGACGTCGGGCAGCCATTCCAGCATGAGCTTCAAACTGGGAAGGGCTTATCTGTTCATGAATAGATGTGAAATTTAAACCTATAGAGAATAATAAGCTCAAACTGGTATCTATAGAAATCAATGTTCATCTTTCTCCCTTTATGAGGGACATTATGATCATACCTCTCTATCACAACAACCACAAACTATACCATTTCCCTGTTTGTAACCTCCAAGTAGTTTCTGAAGCACACATTAGACGGCTCAATCATTGAAAACAATAAAGATCAGTAATAGATAACTATCAAGAACGCAATATTACAACACCTGTCCTTTGACATAGTAAGCCAATTCAGCACCATCTGGTAGTCCATTTGGCATAAAAAGTAGCCTATGCAAATCATTATCCCTGAGAAAAGTACAAATTTGTATTACAATTCACAGGGGAAACTAGAGGAGACGAGAATTCCAAGCAAGCTATCCCCTATCTAAAACTTAAAACCAGAAAAGTACCTTCTCTTATTGCAACCATCTACATTTTTCTTTTGCTGTAGACCCAAGTTAGAAGTATGGGAGCTTGATCTGCAAAACATGTTTGGCATGGTCATCCACATTTTACCATCTAATCGACCATAAAAACTAAAATGTCACTAAAGCACATGTTCAACAACCAGCTATCAGGTTTGACTAATCACACACACACAAACACATGCACACAGTGCATGTGCATATGGCACACGCACACGCGCACACAGGAGGAAAGGAGGCAGAACAAACTTTTTCACATGTTTCCTCTCGTCAGTTGTCTGCTTTTCATGACTTTGTTGCTCAACAGGACTCAGCACATCTGAACAAGACATGTAGCTCACACCATCTACAAATTCACTGAAACATCATATTTTAATATAATAAATTACAAAGGAAGTATAAATTCCACAGATTCAGTAGAGAGGACAAAAATCTGGTCACTGGAAATCTGGATGATGCCACAGAAAAACTATCAACGAAATTAAGTAGGTCAAATATAAAAAATCAAAAATCTCATAAATGAGGAATGAAAATTCTGTTTAAACCAATGCAACATGCCAAGTCCCAAACCAGAATGCATTGACCTCACAAGCCACAACTAGATAACTAAATATTTTATTAAGGAAATGGCTGCTAATGGGTCATATTCTAAAAACACAAGCAATTGTATTCACTCACAACTCACAAGCCTAATAAACTGAAGCCAAGCAACAACATAGCACATATGAATTCATGAGATGTTATTCTTGCCAAGGAGACTTTAATGAACATACCGTGCCCTTCCTGATTAAAATTTTATTTAGCATAAAGCAAAACACTCTTTCGTGAGAAGAAAGATATAGAACCAGATTTGCCTTGTTTACTACATGATTTCTAGATTGAAAATAAGCAAACAAAAAAAAAAAAAGGAATTAAACAAGATGAAATAATCATCCTATCCTCCATGATAAAAGGGAATAAGAGTGAATAACAAGAAAGAAAAAAAAATTAAAACTTCATACAAAACGCTCCAAAAAGAAAATCTAGCACACACACACATATATATTGAAATTGGATTATAATAAGTTTTTCTTTGGTTTATTCATTTTTTACCTTATGTTTGTATGAGGCAGGCCAACAAGCTTGGAGTTACAAAAATTGTCCGCCCCAACCTGCCCATTGCTTTGCAAAAGACTTGCTGCGGAATCCATGAAAAGAAAAGAGTAAGAAAAATCTAAATCTAAATATATAATTAAGGACAAAAGATAATAACTTCTATTATTGCCACAAAAAATCTCCGTCCCAATGGTTAAGGTGCCTTCCCATGCATGTTGCAGTCTATGCTAAATCTCTAGCCATTTCGGGCTTTGAATTTGTAATGCCAATACCTCAAGGAACAGGCCATATTAGGTGTTAACTCTATATAACCAATTAACACGCTCCATCAGGTAAAAGACCTTTCAGCCAGTGTTGTTAAGGATGGCTTATGGCAGTCAACATCAACAAACCCAATAACTACCGTGTTTCCATGGTAGACAGCATGGCAACCAACATATTGAGACAAGGAGGCTATTTAGAGAAAGGAAAAGAACAAGATATAAGCAGACATGTGACGGAGGGAGGGAGACAGAGAGAGAGAGAGGCCAAGATAGAAAAAAGTGGAAAATATATTATAAAAATAATTTAACAAGGATAAAAGCAGTAAAGAAAATATAGGCAAAGTATGCGGGAGCACAGCGAAATATAGCAAAAGAAATGAAAACGTATGCACTTTTTACTGGATTAAAAAGAAAAAAAGAAAAGAAACCTCCGATGTGTGCAAGGCAAGGGAAGATAACCTTTAAAATAATGAGAGAAAAAATGGATAAGATTATAAAAAGTTGCATTGCAGCATCGAAGGGTGACGGAACTCAATCAGAAGATATTAGAAATATGACAGGATGAGCAAAGCCGAATTGGCTAGAGAACAACACGATGATAAAATTTCACACATGCAACATTAGATAGGCATGAAAGGCAAAAGCCAAACTGGTTAATTTGAAATTTAAATATCTGGCAAGAAGAATATCCAGAATAGAATTCTTGTCATTGCAAAAATAGCATTTTAGACTACATCATTGACTAGTCAACCATAAACTAATACAAAAAATAGTACATTTGCCCAGCATACATGTGAATGATTTATTTTTTTTAATCAAAAATTTTATCATCACCTTTCCAAACCTGGAAGGACTCTTCATTGACAGATGAACCAGCAACGTTCTTTATAACCTCATCTAATAGGCTCAGTGGAGCAGTTTTTATTTCCTGTATAATACTATATATTGGTTTTCCATTTTCCAGGAATATGTGATTATTGGGATGTCTAGTCTTGGCACCAGCATGCTGCTCAAACTCATACGCACTTAGAACCTGTGCATATCATTAAATCATCCATCTGTAGATATAGGACAAAAACTTCAAACATAAATTGAATTGATGAACATAGCTTACTTTGGAGAAACTGCACAGCGAGCAGCCACACATATATCCACCACCCTGAATAATCCCAGGCAGCTCGATCTGACAACAGCTTAAGAATGTAAGAAAACTACCTCACACGAGAACCTTTTCCTCTCTTTTTTCCTTCTTACCATCTATACCCAGCACAAGTATATAAGATAAATATAAATGCATGCTTTACCTTTCCTGCGCCATGAGTATAAATGTACTTCACTCGAGCTCCATCAAGAATACCAGTTGCTAGCAGCTTCTTAACATTTGTAGGATAACAGCTAGGAACTACCTTCTTTGACATTTTCAACTCCATATTTCGAGCGTACGAGTTGAAATCACCAGCTTGAACATATTCCATCCCGTAAGAGCTATCTAACATCCCCGACTTATAATCAGAACTTAACAAAGCCTCATCGTCGTAAGGATTCCTATCAGTACTAGCAAGTGACTGATAGTCATAGTCCTCCTTCTTTTTACTGAACTTAAAAGTAATCTTTCTAATTCCAGATGCACTGGCATGCTTGGGAATTTCCAGTACAACACAGGACGTCATTTCAGCACTGCTCGCGCCCTTATCATTCTGGGAAATAGTATTATGATCACCCCCGCCATCACTCAAGGTCTCGTCCGAGCTTGAATTCTCCAAACAAGTAGACGTTACTTCCCCACACTCTGCTTGATTAGTATTTGCCAACTCGCTCGGCTGGCTACTAATATCTTGAAAAGCTAAAACATTCTCTTTTGAAGAAATATTGGGATTGGAAACCTCAGAGCGCACGTCGTCGTTTGAGACTTCCTTCGCTTGTTTCTTATTAGGGGAGGGGTCAAGTTCAGTATCAGTAAAACATTGGCAGTCCCTCTTCAGGTCCGTTCTTGATAACTCATCGTCTTCACCTGTTCTATCTGCTAATGATTCGACGCAAACTGCTCCGTCTCCCATCAAAGAATAAAACCCTCTAGGAATCCCAACGTGGTAGCAACCAGCAAAGTGATACTGGGGTACAGCATTCAAGAAGAAAATCCAACAAGTTCTAATTCAATTGTTGCTGACTTGACTTTGTCCGGGGCTGCTTGAGCATCAAATCAAGTTATCGCCTGAGCATAAAGAAAATATTAGAAAATAACTTTGACGGATGCATCCCGCTAAAAAACACTAAGATCGAGATGAAAACAACAACCACAGGTTACAAGGTATGCGAGCAAATCATGTTCTGGAATGGGCCTTTTCATAATCAACAACCGCTTAACCGTTTTAATTCAATTCGGGAAAGCCATAAAGGATGAGGAAAGGATTAAGAAGAAACCTACCTCTAACCATATACCAATCGAAATCATAAAATTCAAAGCCAAAAAGACCTTCAGTTCCAAACAATCATGAAATTCTTGGATATCTTAACACCAACTCCAACCACTAAATATCCAAAATTATATTTACAGATCTGAGATTCGTCAAGAATACTGAAGTCCTTTATCCGATTAGATCTGAATGATAAACGTGGATGCGATAGGGTTAGGGTTTGATTTGCCACGCTCACGGCGGCAACGAACTCAGACGAAAGGCTTGGTTCCCGGGCGAGATTTAACTTTTGGAGGCTGAGGAGCGATGAGTTTCATTAAAATTCCGGGGAAAAAAGCAAAATATAAAATTGTCGTCACAATCTTTCGGAAGGGACGAGAAGACAAATGGATAAACGTGATGGGACCCAGGTAAGCAGCCTGTAATATCATGCAACGTGGCTGCACTGCGCTCCGGCGACGTCCACCTTAGCCGTTTTTCCATGAGGTGTCACGGAAGTTACACGTGTAAACAAATAAAAATATATTAATTATAAAAAAGATTAATTATATATTTAATAATTTAGTTAATATATATTAGTATATGTGAAATCTGTGGGGGGAAAAAAATCCATATCCATATTCATATTCTAAACAAGGATCATAAACTCGAGATTTTTTTTTTGGCCAAAGATAAACTCAGGATTTTGTGCAAATCATATTCACAATTTATATTATTATAATAATAATAATAATAGTCAAAGAATTTGTATTTGGGCAATAATTTCTATCAATTTTTATTTTACAAATTACTAACATAAAATAAGAGAATATTCATTTAGACAATATAGATCAAGGGAAAAAGCACTAATATTTTAAGTAAAAGTTTAAAATAAGAATAATGTATTAATCATCATGATGTTGTGAGAATAACAAAAATTTCCAATTTTTGAGGTTATTTAGAGTATCTTTGTTTTCTTTTTCTAAAAATTATTTTTATTTTTTAAAACAAAAATTTATTTATATAAATATTTTCAATTTTTTTAAAGATAAAAAAAGAAACAACTTCAACTTATTTATATTTTATTTTTCTTATGTTCAAAATGTATTACATATTATTATTAGGAATTATAATTATCTTAATTAATTTATATAATAAATTATTATTATTATTAACTGTTATGACTATTGTCATCAATTTATTTTTAAATTAATATAAGCAAACACATTTTTTATTTTATTTTAAAAATTATATTTATGAACTAATTTTTAAAAACAAAAAAATAAAAAACAGAAATAAAATATCCCTAACTTTGCCGTCAGCGCCAAACATAATGTCGGGTTATGATCGGACATCCTTCCATTTCAATTTCCTCCTGCCATAACTTGGATCGCGAGCTGCAAGCTATGGCATCTCCAGTGACTTACGAGGAAAAGGCACTACTCGTTACCAATGCTCCGCCACCTCAAACGCCCAAGGATTACCCCAGAGATGTGTGTCCTGAGTCTGTCATTTTTACTGATCTTTCTTGCCTATGGGGCTGCTCAGAATTTGCGAAGTACTTTAAACACTGAGTCTCTGTGAATTGTTATCCCTCGTCCATTTGGTAAGTGGTTTTGTCCGGTGACATTCTTCAGTTCAAAATTGATATTCTGTATTGCGAATCTGTTTCTGATTTGGAGTTTTCTCATGACTCTGTTGGCTTGATTTCATGCCAGGAGCGAAATCTGGGTACAATTTCACTTGGGATATTGTATTTATCCTTCACATTTTACTCCGCGGTTTCTTCTTTGATATTGCGAGTATTTGGGTCAAACAATGCCGTGGCTCTTGGGACAACTGGTCATTGGGTTTTCGTAGCCGCAAACTTGAAGCTGAATTAGTAATCTCTCCTTATCTTTTTGTTTAGACTATCTGAGGAAGGGGTGTTTCAAACTCAAAAGCATGGTCCATATTGCGGACGCAACACTTTGGACGCGGTGAATGAAATAATCAATAGCCGCACAAGACTTGAACAATATAATTTGACTCAACTTATATCCGACTTTACGCAGTACATGGAAGTCGCCTCTAGTTTGTTTTAGGATGAAATTGCATATTTTTTAGCATAACAAGTCACCTGAAAAGTATGGTAATCAATAAGCTCTTTGTGAAAGTTAATTACTACAAGTAATGGTGGAGCTACTGTTATTGAAAAATAACTTTTATTTTGAGCTAACAAACTCATTTCACCAAAATCGAATTTGCGCGGGACAAAAAGTTGAAAGAAGCACTGTGTAGGAAGGAATTCCTTTGAGTTTTGACAGTGACATTGTGATGAGTTAAAATTGGTTATTATTTATTTATTTTTAATTGTGAGAGTTTGAATTTTAGATTTTTTCTCTCACCTACACTATTTTAGCCACCTGAGCTAGTCTAGGTGGCTAAATCAATTATTATTTTCCAAGTAACAGAGCGGGTATCTGTTACATGCCCTCAAACTAACAATCTTTTATGTTATTTTGAATCCATTAACCAATTTTATTTTATTTTATCAATGCCGGTAGAAGAATGGATAATTCAGTGCTTGTTCGAATTGTAGCTCATTTTGTATTGTATTTATAGTTTTTTGGCATAGCTTTTGTGATGCTTCATGACTATGTGTGCTGAAATGATGTTATTATAATGAGCTTTTTACTATTTGAGTTCTTCCTATACGATGGTTCCAGCCTCTTTGTATATTGGGTTTAGTGCTTCAATAATATGGGTTGTTGGACAGGTGTAACATGTCAAGGTTGTAAATTCCTTATTCTTCATGGAGTTACATTTGCTTTTGTTGATCTTTATTTCACCTTTGAGGGGACATATCTCTCTTCCACTGCCTGCGATCATGCCAGGCATTGGAATTTGCATGAACCAGCAGTGATCAGTGGCTTCGTTGGGGTATTTTGGGCAATGCATGCACTACACCAGGCTATGATCCTACTTTAGCTGAATAAATTTGTTATTTTTTCCCTAGTAAAAACAAATAAAGAAGCAACTCCTCTTGTAGACAAGTCTTAATGTATAAAACATTGTTTTGCAGTTCGTCGGCAATCTCCTCACATTTGCTCTTCTGAAAAATGGACAGCTTGTCATTTCTTGGGCTGGTCTTTACTTATTGGCACAACTCTCCCAAATATCCTTTTGTCTCTATTCTCTTATGGGTTCATAATTGTTGCCTCGTGTCCTTATTGCATAACCCTCGGTCCAAATTTTTTTTTTCCCACATCAAAGTAATAATGGTAGGCATACACTTACCTACTTTTGAGATTGATTTTGATTTAACAAAAAAGATTAAGGAATACAGTGCTATGATCGTTCAGGTTTATGGTGTTGATATACTTGTGTAAAGATTGCTGTATATTTCTGCTATCTTGTTCATTTGAAATCTTACATATTTCATTTATGCTCCTTGAAAATATGTAATGTGTACACTATGTAAAAGATTTAAAGAATATGTAAATGTAAGCTGGGTTTTCCCTTCTACCCTCAAGCAATAAACACTCGCTTCTAGTACAAACACAACTGAGCATTAAGTAATTCATAAAACTTACTGAATTCGTTTCCTATCACTGCAGGATGGAAGCACCAGCAACACAAATTCATTGTTCCCTGTATTTCATTGTATGATAATCTTAGGTATTATACTAATGTGCTTCTTGAGTATAAGGAGTGGCAATAGTATGAAAGATGATGAACCATCAGATGCTGGTGTTAGCGTTCATTCATCCATAAAGTCTCTATTCAGATCACTTGCCAGTGCATTGTCTGATGTAAGGATGTTGTTGGTCGTGCCCTTAATTGCTTACTCAGGGCTACAACAAGCGTTTGTGTGGTAATTTTGGTGCATACTAGGAATCCATTCTCATGTTCTTCCCATAGTGGTTCTTTATCTTCTGATTGTCTTTTGGTTCTTTATATCCTGTTTATTAATGTAAATATGGTTGCTGTCATAGGGCTGAATTTACCAAGTATGCTGTAATCCCAGCACTTGGTGTTTCTGGCGTGGGTATTGCAATGGCTGTATATGGGGCATTTGATGGAATAGTAAGTATGAAAATGTAATAATTTGATGGTTTCTCCGTAGAGGCAACCTGAAGCTAATTAATTGGGTGAGTACATATTAATACAGGCAATTTTTTTTTTTTTTTGAAGAGCAGGGGATGAAGGACATAATGTGTTCCTTTTCTATTAGCACTTGGCATGTTAACATATACTTTTAACTAGATGTATCAGTATTTGTTTATTTTTTTCTTAATTTTCGTAATTATGTCAGTGTTTCTGGCTGCTGGTCGACTTATTTCTGGTCTCCCATCAATTACGTCAATAGTTTGTGTTGTCCAGGCAGTTGTTTTTATCTTGCTTCTACTAGATATAAGGTCCGTATTAAAATCTGTTATTTAGAATTTGAAGTCTCTGATATTTTCCTGTTTCCTGTAATTATATCATGCCAATTCTGCTCATTGCCACTCACGATGCAGCATGGCTAGTGGAGAACTCAATACTCTATACCTACTTTTTTGGGCTGCCTTGTTGGGGATCGGTGATGGAGTTTTAAACACACAACTGAGTGCCTTGCTAGGAATGCTTTTCAAGCATGACTCGGTAAAGTTTAAAGCGTGATACACTTGTTTTCTCTCCAAATGATAGATTGTGATGTTCATGTTTGATCTTCATTTGGAACATGCATGCACATCTTTATGAGTATTTATGTTGGCATTGGAGTAGGAAGGAGCATTTGCACAGTTGAAGATATGGCAAAGCGCTTCAGCCTTCAATTGCTATGGTGTTCTTTCTGAGCTTACACCTCTCTTTGCAGGCAATGCTTCTAACTATGCTTGCTTCATTGAGCTTATCGTTTGGCAGCTTTCTGTTCCTAGCGCTCAAGGTGGCCTAGGAATCATTTTCATCCACCGGTAAATGGATTTCTGCTTTGTTTGTTTTAGTAGAAAATGTGAGAGGAAAGAAAGTACGAGGGAAAAAACTGGAAAGAAAGCAAATTTTCCTCTGGATAAGGAAAGAAAAATGAGAGGAAGGAAAAGTAGGAAAGAAAATAGAAGGTGGGACTCTATATTTTCTTCCCAAGTTCTCTCCATGTATGGAAAGATTTTGGGAAGAAATTTATTATTTCTTGTGTGACCTCTTTTCTACTTTTTTCCCCCCATCTTTGCACTTTGTCTCTCTCTTATGCAAAACACCTCTCTCATGCTCTTCTTTTTTTTTTCTCTGTCAGAAGCTACGATGTCCCACTGTACTTTATGGATGATTTATATTTATTTTTAATAAATTATCTCCTTTTAATATTAAATAGAAATAATACATTTTTAGTAAATTATTTGGTTTTAAAATAATACAATAATATGTTTTTAATAAACAGATTGATTTTAATTTTTTATGAAGCTAATTTTAATATAATTTTTCTTTTTAATTTGTTTTTGTAAAAATAATTGTATGAAACATAACATATTTTGATATAAAAGTATCATAGTCATTATGCTATTTGCTCTTTTTTTTTTTCTACCTTATTTTCTCCTGCTCATCCACATATAAGGAAGAATAATATTTTCTTTTTCATTTTCTTTTCTGACAATTTTTCTTTTTATGTGAACGGTTCACGTCAATGCATTTGCAAGCACTATTGAAGCTCCCGCGTCCTGCCCAGCCATTTTGATGTGAATATTTTTAAATTATTTTATTTAAAAAAAATACACATGACATCAATCACTTTAACGGATCCATCCGTTTTCATACCCCCTTCATCTTCTTTCTTTGACTAGTTAGATTCCAATTCTTCTTCTCAAATATACTATACAGTCAAGAATCGAAATACAGAGTTCGTGCTATGTTCTTTGCTTCCGGTACCTTTTATAAATGAATTTTTACGATAGAAGTTGACTGAATATCCATATCTATCCTAAGGATAAATCTCACAAGATTACTTACACAAACCAAGCAAACTATTTAATGGTCTTTTTTTTAAAAAAAAAAGAACATTTATTATTATTTAGATTTTATAGATCTCCTTATAAATAAAAACATAAAATCTTTTCAAAGTTATCTTATAAGAAGAGGTGGAGAAATTATGAAGGAGTAAATTTATTATGGTATTAGATTGCTTTTCAGAGACATGAAGCACAAATAACAGTAAAAAAAAAAAAAAAACTTACAAGTGAAAATATTAAAAACATTCAATGAACGATATGGAAAGGCAGCAATTGCAGTTGTAAACTATATGGGGCATGTTATTCATAGGGAGAGCTGATAATTCCAATGAAGCACCGAACAGCAAGTGGGATTGAAGCTAAGCCTTGGAAAGTGAATTGATGACCGTGTTGCTGAAATCCCAGAGTTTGGCGGCTAGCACTTGGTTTCTGGCATAAGAATTTGGCCTGTGCTCATTGCAATCCTGAAAGTATTTCCCACTCACGCCTTTCATGCTTGGGTGCAGAGCAACATAGCATGTTGTGGCTGTCCCCTGCCACGTTAATCAAAACCAAGATATTACTTCTAGTGTATTAAAATTTTAAAATTACATAGATGAATATGTTGAATTTACCTGTGGGACATTCTTCCATATGTAAAAGGTGAACACTTTCAGAAGATCTGGTTCAGATTGTACAACAATGGCATTAGACAAAAATAAGCAAAAATGGAAAAGCAGCCATGCACCCATCTAATTGGTGATGCAGGAGACATAAACATACGCATAAGGAAGGAGGAGTGTCTCATGAGAGGAGTCATTATCACTCCTGGGTGGACTGAGTTGGCTGTAATGTTCGCCCCCTCTTCCTGCACATGATTTCAAGAACTCAAATAAACGACTAAATTCACAATGAGCACGTCGAAACTAAAAAATCATTGCAACTCTGAACAGAAACTAAATGGAACTGATAAAAACACTAATAGCATAACCTGCAGGCGGCGAGCTAGCTCATTTGCATGAAGGATGTTAGCCAACTTGGACTGCCCATATGCTTTCTTGTCACAGTAACTGAAAAGTAATAGCATTGTGAAAAATATTTTATGACTGTTTTTAAGATTTAAATCCTTTTAATTTATCTTTAAAATAAACATAATGCCTGTTTTCAATCATCCGAGTAGATTCTACGCAGCTGGTAATGTGATTAAGGTGTTCTAGTTACTTATTCATGGATTTACCACCACTGCCGTGAGCAAAATTACTCATTTGCAGTATCATATTGAAAGTGAAACGTACCCGTTTCGATTATTGATCTTCTCAAATCGAATTCCCTTTGGGTAACTATAGTTATGGGCAATTGAAGACAGATTCACGATCCTTCCCTCGATTCCACTGGCTTTTGCAGTTTGTTTCATTTTGTCAAGAAGAAGATTGGTCAACAGGAAATGACCTGAGAAGTGAAAGGGAAGAGAGAACACTACGAATCAGATTGAAAGCCAGTAACGGCGGGCATGATTTACGAGACATTACCGATATGATTTGTTGCGAACTGCATCTCAATCCCGTCCTGTGAGAGTTGGAAAGGGCAGAACATAACTCCAGCATTGTTTCTGAAACGAAAGACCAACGCTTTAGTTGAAAAGAAATAAACCCAAACTGAAGAGAGAGTACTGGAAGTCACATTAATATGTTGAGTGGAAGATCAAGAGCGATGAAGTTGTCAACAAATGCTCTGATAGACTTGACCGAGGAAAGGTCGAGCTTCAGTATATCGATACGAGCGGACGGGTTTTGCTGCAGAATAAGATTCTTAGCTTTCTTGCAAGCTTCCATATTTCTTGCAGCAATGATCACGTGCACCTTTCGAAGAGCTAAAACTCTTGCTGTCTCAAAGCCAATTCCACTCGCTCCTCCTGCATTACCGGTTATTATTGTCTTTTTCTTCAAAGGGGAGGATTACTTCTACAATGAAACAGACCTGTAATAATGGCAGTGAGATTGGAGGCATCGATTCCTTCGGTGACCTTCTCTGCAGTTGAAGCAGAACCAAACCCACTCGGGCCTGGCCACCCTGTTATCAACGACATGATACCGACCATTGTCTGCAATTGCCCACAAGCACAACAATTTTCTCAAAGCTTTTCTTTTTCTGAGCAATGACACAAAACATCCTGAGAACACATCTACATATATAGGCATGTAGGTGTGGTTTCAAAGAGGACATCTATGAGTGAAAAAGACAAATACGTGGGGTCGAGAAGGAGACGAGAGAAGGTAGGAAGGAAGCAGAGTTAAGTTAGGTTATGGCTTATGGGATCAGAATTCTTCAAATCCCATTGTGGTAATATGGACGTCATAAATTGAAGAACATACAGAGACGGACCGGTGGAGCTAGCGGTGTGGATTGGTAGTAAAATAAAAGGGTGGATCTCGCGGTCAAAAATGGCTTCTTCACCATTGAGGGTTGTTCAAATGCCATCCCTCCTTCCATGTGACGGGACGTAGGGCATTAAATAGGCAGGAACAGATGTTATGGACTTTCAGCATCACCATCCAATCACGCCATACCACTCATAATTGGCTCTGCCTTAGGATTCTAAGCATGTCATTTAAACTCCTACTTGCCACTTTTTTTAATCATTTATGTGTATATTATTTTCATCACAAATTATAAAATAATTTTAGAGATAATTTTAATATCTTAAAATATAAGATAATTTAATAAAAATAAAGTTTAATTGAATGTACTTTTTCAATGTTACTTTCCCTCTTCATTATTTTCTCTTTTTAATCATATTGAATTAAGGATATTTTAAAATTTATATATTTATCTTAAAAAATAAAATTATACGAGTGTATTTAATAAATTTTATTGATAGCAATATTATATATAAATTTATTTTATAAATTAAGATAGACATGATAGTTAGTTCCAATTTATAATAAGTGTCCTAACACTTTTTTTAAAAATAAACAAGAAAATTCAAAGAGTATCCTAATTGAATACCCTTTATATGCTCTGTCTTGGATCAATCATGACACACAATATGAACTAACTCTAGTGGCACTTGAAGAAACCTAGTAAACCCAGGCATAGTTGAAAGTCTACGCTGAGCATTAGAAAATAAAACAACAAGAGCAAAATGGACATTTTTTAAATTCTAAATACGTATGCAAAGACTAACCCCAAAAGAAACAGTTAGCCATGGCCAACCATAAATCACATATTTGCTATGGCAAAGTGCATGCTTGTCATGGTTAATGGTATGGCGGAATGCCATAATGCAACCTCATGTACAACATAATAATAATAGCATTTAATTTAAACTTTCAAATAGCCTAATTAATTACCCGAGCCTTCGATTAAAGTAGTCTAACTGCCCACATGCAGATAATTAAGAACTTTAACCAGTGGCTTCAGTTACAATTCAATTTGATACTAAATGAGGATCCTGGAATGCTTGGGGCTAACATGCTTGTCATAATTACAACTTATCAATCAAGTATCTCCCCTCTAAAACTAGCTGACACTAGTCATCACAACTATAAGCAACATAAGTCGTAATCAACTACACTTACTTAACTCTTTAACTTGCCAATTTGTTTGACAATCATAATTTAATCACACAGTTGCTTGATTGGTTTACATTACAGAAAAATATAGTAATGCCATAATAAGGATTGTCTAAGATGCCAATTAGGCTCATGCAAAGACAATAGACCTACTAACAAGTGCAAACCCCTAATGTTAGCAGTAATTAGTATTTAATTATACAAACTAAGAAGATAAAAACTTTACAAATGAAGTTAAGCATCTTTAGTTTCTGATGCTCCCCTTTAGCCTCGCATTTAGTGTTTTCTAAAAAAGTATTAAACAACAAGAGTGATATTATATAATTTCAATAACTCAGGCACACAAATTTAAGCACATAAGAGTGTGAAAAATACAAACACATAAGGCAAGAAATCACAATTAACATACCTTCAATGTTCAACATGTATCATCAGACTATTTATCATTAATCACAAGACATAAATGCAATGATAATAATTATGCATGATCATATGTATTCCATCCTTATTCCTCTCCTTATCTCTTATGATTGAATCCATGAGCTATGAAGTTATATAAGACCAACCTGTGTGATTGGATTAGGCCTACTCTCTAATTGTGGAAGGTTACTCGCCCAAGGTACTCGCTCTCCATTCTCTGATCATGAATTCCTCCTTCTTAAATTTAGGGTATCATAGTTGACATGACCTACATGGTTCCTATAGGAAACTAGTGATCCCAAGCAAGCATGCTCACATATGTTGTATCTTAGGGGAAATAGACATAAATGCATTGTAATCAAATATGCTAGCCATCATGAGCAAATCTCAATGGAGACTACACCACATGAATTTTTCTATAACACCCTTACCCATGTAGGTGAACTTTCACCTATCCATGATCATACACCATGCTTATGTTACTTAATGACATTTCACAAATGTAAATTTGATTAACTTATCTCACAATCAAGCACATACTATCAGGCCAAAGATAAGTAACTAATATTTAAATTTCATGCTAATATCATAAGCTCATGCTCCATGACATATTATCATCGTATAATTTAACAAATTTATTCATGCACAAGATTACCCTATCAAATTATGTGTTTATACTTAAATTCTTAATATCATGCTATGATAATCAATCACTTAATCTTTTATCCACATCCCCGCACCAATGGCTATAAATTCACATAACCATAATCGTGTTCAATAAGATTACATCAGTTACAATGCCATCACCACATCATGCTTAGCAACCACATGAACTTCATTCCATCATTCTGTACAACTCATATCATCAAACAAGCTCACAATTACAAGTCACACAATTCATAATAATCAATACCAACATACTTACATATCCACATCATTATATTTGTCACGATCAATAATATACAACTAATAATTGCAAACAATAATTATTTACAATAACTTAACTCCTGGTTACCTCTACTTTTATTTTATCACCCCAAGAGTACACTTTGAATGTTGAGAGAGCTTCCTAACAAACACAATAAGCTCCAAACAGTCAATCTACAATTAATAATTAATAGACAACATTGATGACCAATCATCACCAATTAACCATAATCACAATTAAAGCCTTAAACCCTCATTAAATGTGATTAAGCAAAAACAACCCAACAACTCATTTTCACTAACTTATTTAACTTCCATTAAGTTTAATAAACACTATTAACTAACTTCATTAGCATAAACTTAGTTATTTATCATTAAGGTTAACTTTAAACCCTTCATTAATGGCCATTAAAGTTGCTAACAAACAAGCCCAAAGGTAGATACAGTTAATAGCATCCATAGACTCTAATAAAGTCCCAATGATGGCTAAGACTTGGATCTAGGTTCAGATATTAGCTTCCCAACCCAAAGGTAGTAGAAAACACATAAATAAAGTTAGAGAATAGTATATAAGACTTACTCAATAATTTAAAGGCCCTAAATCACCTTAAATTCACTCTACCATGAAACTATAGCAGAGTACTTTCTCAAATGCTTGGATTCTCTCTTAAAAACTCTCCCTTTTTGCTTGAATGAGTTGCAAAATTAGGATTTCAATTTTTTTCATGTCTGTTGCAACAAACTATACCATCTGCCACCATAGATGGCCTAACACAATCCAATAACCTTTTTAAGCCCCTTACAAGCCTCATATAGTGTCTAATAGGCCTAAATAGCCATCCAAACTCTAATATTAACTTATAATCACCCTAATTAATTAATTAACCACTTAATTAATTACTCTAACTATTAGATTAAAATTTGAAATGTTACAAAGAGTATCCTTCCTTCCCATCTTGTAAAGGTCACACTATTATCAGCACATAGACCTCTCTTTTTTAGGAGAAATTTTAGCAAACTATCTCTATATGTAAGCTAAAGCAAGGTTTTGCATTGTTAAGGTGCTCTTACCTTCTAAATTCTCCCCTAGCAAGAGTCCAATTGAGGCTCAATGGTAGAGATCATATCATATACAGACTTCACAGTGAAAACCCACTCTTCTCCCTTTGCCATTGCATACCTTTATCAATCACCTCCATCCCAACTTGCAATTTCTCTCGATAGCTTTAATACCAACCTAAATATTCAACCTAAAGTGCTTAAGATTAATTTTTAGACTGACATCATTTCCACATTTATATGTGCTTCATAACACCTGTACCTATAAATTTTCTCTCTACTTAATCAGTCCCCAACCAAGCTTTATGAACAAAGCATGATTTTGACACCTTACAAGATGAAGACCCATACCTCTCTATTTCTTGAGCTGACATATCATCCTATGCCATGAGATAAATTGTCCCATGTTCCGCCATACTGCCCTAAATGAAGTTACAATTGCAACAATTAATGGAATCATAAGAACTAACAGGAAAAAAGGAAGTCTACATATCATGACTTAGAATGGTTGTCATCACAGATGAGACCAACGTAGTTCTACTTGCAAGTGACATAGATGTCAGATTCCATTTAGCCAACCTAAACCTTACCTTATCCAAGTTGCCATAGTAAGCATCAGAGGAGAGGAACACCTAGATATTTTCTAAGATCTATAGACTCTATAAAACCCAAACACTAGCTTAGCTTGCTACACCTATTATGGTTGACATTCTTAAAGAAGAACATACTAGTTTTGAAAGCATTAACCTCCATACCTAAAGCAACACATGATATGTTCAAATGCTCAAAAATAATTCTTGCTTGTTGAATGGAGGCTTTCGCAATAAAAGAATACCATTCACAAAAAATAGATGTGATATAGGAGGACTAGATTTATTCAAGTGAATAGGCTTCTAAATTCCTTGGTTGACCTTTTCTTGAATGAGATGAGCCAATTTCTTCATAGAAATCGCAAAGAAATAAGGTGACATGGGATCCCCTTGCCTCACCCTTTTGGATGAGTTAAAAATATTTTATTTTTCTCCATTCCAAAGAAGCTAGAGATTAGCTATTGAAATAGCCAAATATATTGAATCCACTAAGAATCTCGATAGATTCAACTTATGTAAGCAATTAATAACAAAATTCCAATTCACCAGAGAGTAAACTTTCTCCAAATCAAATTTAATTGCCATGAAGCCCTTCTTCCCTTTCATATTACTCATAAAATCAACAACCTCTTAGATCACAATAATATTATTTAAACTATGTTTCTCCGAGACAAAACTGTATTAGTTAGATGAAATAATATAAGGTAGGAAAACTCAAGTTTTAATAAAATCGCTCTTGTATGCTCATAAGTTAATCCATACTAAAGTGCTTATTAGAAAAATCACTCCCATAAGCCAACATACAAGAGCGCTATATGAAGTACTCTCGTACAAGCGCTCTGAAAGGCAAAATATAAGTACTCTTGTAGAATTTTTTTTGTGGTAGTGCTCTAACGTTTTAGAGATTATTTGGTGATAATTTTATAAATTATGTTGCCTAAAATCCCTTACCATTCAAGGGGGATCTATTTTTAAGAATAAGAACAATCAAAGTGCCATTTACCTCTTTCATATCTTTGAGAACAGAGAAAAATCCGCTGCACGTAGCCCTAACACTTTTTGGCAGCTTCGTACTTTCGAATATGATGTTCTGCCCCGCTGATTAGAATTTGTGATATGTAATTGTGGAAGTAGGTTAGGAATATAAAATCTATATAATTTATTATATCCCCCACACAGATAAGGGTCCTTAGCTCAGTGGTAGAGCATTTGACTGCAGATCAAGAGGTCACCGGTTCGAACCCGGTAGGGCCCTTATGTTTTGTTTTTTTTTTTCCTTTTTAGAAAGACATCATTCCAAGAAAAGATGAAGCAAATCCAATATTCTGGGCTGTCTCAAGATTAACAAAGATAAAAAATCGAAAATATTCATTAGTTACCTTATCAGATTTGTTTTTTTTTTCCCTTTTGACAAGGTGCTTTGGCTAGTTATTCGAGCTAAATTACAATCCTGTTGAATTAAAGTATTAGGAATTTTGTTTATTATGATTTTGGTGCAGGAGTCTTTTGATAGGTAAAATAAACACGATGATGGTGTTTGGTTAAAATCGAAATGGATGCGTGTAGGTCATCGGCCAGAAAAAAAAAAAAATAAGAATCACACATGCAGTTCGTGAAACTAATACATAGATTATAGAAATTAAATCTCCAGGTAGGAGTTTATTTGTCTACAAACACACACACACACTATATATCTAAACAGATGACTCGATGGTTGTAATCGCTTCTGTAATCACGGATCTCCTCTCTCTATCTACTTTTTTGAAGTTAGTCTCGTTTGAATCTGCGAAATCTTGGTCCTGCACGACTAACACTGAGCATGTAATGCCCTGATCCACAGAAGACAAGAGACCTCCAATGGGTCCCAACTCCGCGTGCTCCATCTGTGAATCTTCTAACTTAGCCTCCATGGTTGATCCCACGCATTGTTGACTCTTACCCACTATTAGTAGCTCGTACTCCATTCCCTTCCCTATTGCCAGCACCTCTTCTGTCATGTTGCTTTCGTTCTTCTGTATGACTTCCACTCTCTCATGCCACTTAGCTCTGAAGTCGGCCATGGCCGCGTCATCCAGCTCCTGTAATATTAATTTTCATGACCATCAAATTTGTCAGAATGTTTACATTCTTGTTCCTCTCGTAGGAAAACTTATATATATATTACCTTCTCTGTTTCCGCAATGGAATTGGATGCTTTTGATCTGTGATCACCAACGAACCTCACAACAATGAGTCTTATTAATAGGTGCTCTAACATTCGACTTCCCAGCTCTAGAGCCTTCCGACCATCTGGTCCGCCGGTGAAGACTATGCACACCCTCTTGACGGCCCCAGTGGTACCGGCCTGTGTTGCTTGCTCCGGCCGACAACGCAACCCGCAACGGTGGACCAGAACTGAAACAGGGCATGGTGAGTACTGAAGCACTCTCTGATTCACTTCTCTCCATCCCTGTCCTATGTTCTCTATTGCATCCTCATCGTCTCCTCTCCAACGCATGTGGAAGGGCAATATAACGAAGGCAATCCTTTTCGCTTTTGCGATGTGGCAAATGTCCTCGTGCATGGTTGATAATGCAGAGACGGCTGTCAAGTGATGCACGGTGATTTGACCTACTTGACCATGTGCCTGAAACGCGCTCGCAATCTGGTCGTGCATTGGTCCTCGTCGGAACCGGTTGATGAGGGGGAAACCGTTTTTTCGGGTGCGTTGAACCATGAGGATGGAGGAAGAGCGATCGGTGAGTTCGACGAGATGCATGACGTAGAGTTTGAGCTGGGATCTACTGGTGGCTCGGATTGTTTCGATGAAGTTGATGAGGGAGGGTATGTTACCTGGTCCATGGATACATGCGAGAATCCGAAGGTCCTCTTGCATGTCGGAGAGAGGTGGCAGTTGGCGAGCCTTGTGGCGGTGGCTGATCTGAGAAGCAACTGCTCGTGCGGGTTTATATATGGCCATTACGGTCGGGGTCGTCATGAAGGTTGTGAAAAGAGCCATGAGCACCAGGATGGTGAACATTTCGTCGTTAAGGACCTGCTACGTCAAATTAACAATGGTGAAGTTCTGTAACATTAATCGAAAAGAAAATAACCAGTAATTAGCAAATATTATAGCAAATGGGTTTGGGCATTTCATAGTTAATATCGTGCACGTTTCAGATTGAAAACTGTTCGTTAAGAAATGTTCGCTTCATTTGATTCTTCTATTTTGATTTACCATATCCCAATATTCTCCGAAGAATATATGTGTTTACTTGACAAATTAAAATCAGGGGACAACATGTTTTAATCACCTTGTCATTTGTTAATGAGTTGTAGCGTAGCATCTTTCTGGCCCCCATTACTATATAAGATGCTATATATTCTCCCACATTAATCTACAATCTGAGCCTTTTTTTTTTTTTTGGCCAACTACATGTATAGTGACCTGTTAAGGCCTTGAGTTTTAAGTAAGAGATAACATAAACTATTCATCGATAAAAAGTATGCAGATTCAACATTTCTCTTTTTCTTCCGCCTATAGCACTGAAATTTGGTGATGATCGGTGCATCACTTATGGCATCTAGAATCCATAATGATAATAATCAAACTTTAATTGGACAAGATGAAAATGACAGCACAAGCTGAAAAACAGGTTTCTGATGCCCATTACATTACAAAAGCAAATTAAAGCGCGCGCGCATGTTTGTTCTCTCCTTCATTACTCGTGTTATTAATTATACTGTCTAACTTTCGTTATTATGTGCCCATATCCAAGGTACTTAACTGTAGTATCTCACCGATTTAACGCGCAGTCACTTTTAGAAAGATCAGTTTCAATTATATCTTATATTTTTCATCTGAAGTTTAATACAATATTACGACTTCAAAGTTATTACAGGTGTAAAATTTATTCCAAGCAATATGTGGTCAAAAAAAAAATGTAAATTCACCGGTGCTTGACCCCGTTCAAAAATGCAGAAGTAACATATTGCATGTATTTTAAAGATTAAAGGACCAAATAATTAAAAAGTAATTATTTATGATAATCAATTTAAAAAAATTCATCATCTATTTGCAAAAATTAATTTTTATAGATGGAACTTGTGCGACATAAGCGAAGAAGTCTCATAGTAATATTTGTTTTATCAACAACAAATTCCGGTGAAACAATTGATATGCATGTATATTATATGTGATAAGAAAGTTGATGTGCGCACCTTCTTTTCCTTGCCAATGTTGAGAACGATGAGCTCCACCAAGCCTTTGGTGTTCATCAACACTCCAAGAGCCAAAGATTCCCTCGCCGGAATCATACACATCATACACACCAAAAAGGTCCCAAAAATCTTCCCTGCACTCGCCGTCAATATGATCACCGACAATAGCCCCCACGCCTCCACAGTCTTCATCTTCCCCACATCAGTCTTCAACCCGCTCGACGCAAAGTACAGCGGAAGCAGCAAGCTCGACACAAAATCCTCAATCCTCTTTGTCAACCTCCCTGCAAATTCTCCTCCTTTTGGTATTGTAAGCCCGAACACAAAGCCCCCGAATATTGAGTGTATCCCTATGAGATCAGTCATGAATCCTGAAAGCAACACTCCTCCAAGAGTTAAACATATACAGGCTTCGTCCAGGACATCGTGTTCCCGTGAACACTGGCGGGCCACCCAGCCCATCATGGGCCGGACGACGAGTAGCATGAAGATGACGAAGGCCGCGCCGGAGATGAGGACCCAGATTGATATCAACGGGCTTTTATGGCCTCCACCGGCTAGAGCTACCGCGAGGGCCAGCAAGATCCAGGCGGCAACATCGTTGAAGGCCGCGGCTGCCATGGCCGTTTCACCCACTTGGGTTGTTAGGAGCTTGAGCTCCGCTAGAATGCGAGCGAGAACAGGGAAGGCGGTGATGGAGAGGGAGACGCCCATGAACATGAGGTGCTGGATGTAGCCGTTGAAATGGATGACTTTCTGGAGGAGAAAGGTGACTCCCACTCCGAAAAGGAAGGGGAGGAATATTCCGGCAACGGCGATGCTCAAAGCTTGCTTGCCGCTGCGGCGGATGCAGCGGAGGTCAAGCTCCAGGCCCACCAGAAATAGAAAGAAGAGGAGGCCAATGCTTGCGACTGATTCAAGTATCGGAGTACTCCATGACGGGAAGACGAGATGCATGAAATCTTTGTTGCGGCCAATAGCCGAGGGTCCAAGCAAAATCCCACCCTGCCATAACGTACAAATTATAATATACATCAGCATCTTGGGTGCACAGGTACACGCATATGTATAAATCAAGGTCAAATTAATCCACAAATATACATTTTTAGTCCTAGTTCAGAAGTTCATGCACTGATTTAATTCTGACCAAGCAAGGGTCATAGTTAACTATATCATAACAATTTGATTAGAGATAGTACAGTAAGATTAAATTGATTAATGGTGGCAGCGCAAGTGTATGTCTCTCAATGGTATTTTACTCAGCAAAGTGAGACCGAAAGGAGAATTAATTAAAACAGTGCGAAAAATATGTATATATACGGAGGAAATTAATGAGCGCTCACAAGAATCTCGGCAACGACTTTAGGTTGACGAAGGGGTTTGAGGAGGAAGGTGAAGAAGCGGCTCACGGAGAGGACGAGGGTGGTTTGAACAATCAACAATGGGAAAGCATAGTTCAAAGGGTTATCGCCCTGCCAAGCTCCATCCGACGACGTTTTGATGGTGGTCATGTTGACCGTCATGACTGTGTAATATATATATATATATATATATATCTCAGTATGATCACTCGGGGAATTAAACCTGTATATGGGCGGGGCTACTTAGTAATGAGAAGTGTAGGAGGAGTGGGTTTTATAGTGGATGAGTTTGGGAACATGCCAAATAGTCGCGCAATATTCGTGTAGTGTTGTATTGTTATGTTATAGTGCAGATAAATGAGAAAATGGTGGAGAATAAAGATAAGGCCAAGAATATAAGTTAAATAAACAGATCCACTTAAAAGCTAAGCCCGCCCATTTTTCTGGCGCCTCATTACTCTGATATCAACATCAACAGAAAAAAGGATGCACTGATGATCAAGTTGGTGGGGATTAATCATATATTGGCCCCCTCCTTCTCCCCAAAGAGTAAGGATGAACATCTCAAACTCAGCTTGTGCGAGTTCACTGTGGATGGATATCATGACATGCATTATTGGCAGCCTGATCAGTCTCCTACAATGTTGACAAATCCCACAACAATACTCCATGGAAATAATTTCATATCTTTGATCAGTGGTCAATTATTTATTCCTATACTTGCTGGAATCTAAAATGTTCTTTTCTGTTTTACAAATTAATCGTGTGGATTATTACAAGGTACAAATATGAACTCGCTCAAGCCATTAGCTTTGTATTGAGATTGATAGATTGGGTTTGACGTGTATAATCCACACACACACACATGTTCTATTTGCGTATATAAAAGAAAGAAGCATTACACCAAGAAAAAAGAAAGAAAAAAAAAGCAATACATATAATTTTGAATAGATGATAGAATGATATCAAGGATTTAGAGTAAGATTTAGATTCAATGAATAATCTAAATCTACTCATTCAATAAATGTCTTATGTGGCATGATAACAATGATTCCAAAATTGAATGGCTATAAAAGATTTGGTATGTAATACTCAAAAGATATCCAAGCTCATATTTTTTGAAGGGACAACATATTTGAGGAGATTAAGAGCCTCTCATAACCCTCTTTCTCCTTTTTTTCTTCTCATCTCATCTCCACCCTTAAATAACAAAACAAATGGTTTAGATTTAATTGTTTTATAAAATAATTATCATAATATCATATAAAAATAAATAAATAATTTAAACAGTTAAGATTGAACCTACACAGTTCAAAGTTGTATATTATGATCAAATTTGTTCATGAATAATATTTTTTATTTATCTCATTACCGTTCAAGTCACATTTTAACAGTTTAAAGTTTTTTGTTTATTTTTTCAAATATGATAATTGTTTTATTCATTAATTAACTCTGAAGAATTCATTTCTTATCTAGGGATGGGGATGGGATGAGAAGAAGGAAAGGAGGAAAAAGGGAGGAGGAGAGTATCTGCATCAAGCCTGTTTAATGGACGGTGCATGTTAAGCTACATTATGTCTTATGTGGCAATTTTGGAGCTGTAAGGTAAGCTTGAACGGTCATGATTCACAGCCGCGCTTGGACGCGGAGTTACAGAACGCAAAGAGGATCTACTTCCGTGAGGAGTTGCCTTGATCGCGGGGTTGTTCTGAAATTTTAAAGTATTAATAATTTTTAAATATTGATAAAATCAAATGACTATATTGAAAGCATTCATTGAGTAAATTAATTTAAGTCACTTATCAAATTTAAATTCCTAAGTGCTTACTTCAATAAAGGTTGTAAACGGAACTAGCTAGATAGCTCACATCTTTGCATATATGACATTACATTTATAATTATAGATTTAATCTTCTGAAGTTGGGTTCGGTGAATTTAAATATAAGTTTTCCTTGTTTAGTATTTTTGCCCATTTGATTATTTTTGATAAAATACAAAATCTTCTCTCTCTCTCTTTAAAAAAAATTACAGAAATTTATCAATCCCAACTTCAAAAAATTTAAATCCTGTGATTATAAAATGAGAATAATTCGCATTAATTTCAACGGTCTCTACTCTCTAGCGTTTTCATAGACGTGTATATATTAATAAAATATCTGTAATTAATCACCATATGCATGAATATATATCATTGTTTAACTTAGATACGGTGTTCAAATATAATGTATGTGTAGTAGTTGTAGGTGGCCAATATATGATTGTTAGTTATTATATATATGCTTCCATGTGAAGGAAATTAAACTGGCGGTTTTCCACTAACGCAATAACCAAGTGGAGCTTTTTTTTTTTTTTTCTGCAAATAAATTCCCTCCGCTAAGATGTAAGAAGAAAGTGACAAGAGTAATCTAACTTACTATAATTAATTAAAGCATAGATAAGTTCAAACGCATTTTAAACCTTGATGTTGTCCCTATATGACATATATATGCAGCATTTTGTAGGGAAACTTGAAACAATGTCATGCAAATGGACTGATCGTCACCGCCCTCAAAGTATAAACTATGAAGTCACTAAGAGTGTATTTAGATTTCAGTTAGGTGTAATTAATTATAAAAATTAAGTAATATGATTGATTTAAAATATAATTGATTGTGTTATAAGGTATATAATTAATTTATAAAATTGATTGATAAGATTATTTTAATTAGAATTGAAAATCAAGTAAAATCATGGTTTTGTAAAAGTACATCTAAATATTCCTTTTACATGTTAAAATTAATTATGAATTTAAAATAATATTTTAAAAAAAATTCAAACACCCATTATACATACTAAAATTAATTATGAACTCAAAATCATGATTTTCTTAAAAATATCCAAACATTTCCATACATGCCAAAATTAATTATAAACCCAAAACTACAATTATTCTATAAGTTACTATTAACTGCTTTTTGATTTATATTTTCAATTATATTTTTCTAAAAATGTATTCAAAAATCATATAAATTATTTTATAAATCATATTTTTCGGTTTATAATTAATTTTTGCATATATTGGGGTGTTTGGATATTTCTAATAAAATTATAATTTTGGTTTCATAATTAATTTTAATATATATATAATGGGTGTTTGGATTTTTTTAAGAAAAAGATGGTTTTAATTACATGATTATTTTAACATGTAATAAGGGTGTTTGGATATATTTTCATAAGACTATGGTTTTTGAACCCTAAAATTGATTAAAAAGATTATCCAAATAGGCACTAAGCAGCTTTGGTCTCAAATATAGGGTATTAATAAATTAGTTGTTAAGTTGATTGTTTGTTATTGTTGTGTAAAGATTAAATTATATTTTTGGTTCTCTAATTTTTTTTATAAAGTTCTAGTTTGGCGCCCCTTAATTTTATAGTTTCAAATAATTATTTTTTATACAAATTATTATTATTAAAAATATTAAACTTAATATGTGAACATTATGGTTTAATCTAGAAATTTGTTGTTGATGAGAATCAAAGTATTAGAAAAAATGCTTTATAAAATCAAGATACTAAAATAAAATCTTATATAAAATTAAAAAATTAAAAATGTACTTTAGCCTTGTGTAAAAATATGCTTATCACTTTCTCCCAAAATACTCCTATAGAGAGAGATCATTAAACATGTGGGATAAAAAATGGGAATTTTTTTTGAAATTAATGAGAATAATTTGAAAAAAAAAATAAACGAGGGAGACAGAGAAAAATAAGGCCATATATTTAGAACCAATATAAATGCTTGAACTAAGTCTTATAATTTAAAAGTGGATAATGTGCTATATTGGAGGGAGAACTATTTTAATAATAACGACCTGAGTAATATCCGAGATCTGTGCAGTGTTTTCTTCACTTTGATGGATTAAATGTGATGATAAGGGAATTGACAGTAGTGCCCTGGCTTTGACAGGGAGCATTCATATGGTCAAGCGAATTCGAACTTCCATGGCCCGACATCAACATTCCCTTCTATGTAGTCATGTTTCAACAGAGAACATTAGTTGGACGAGCAAAGTTCTAAATAACTTAGTCCATAGGCGAACATATTGTATTCCTTTTCGGGCGGAAAATAACCGGATGCCATTGCAGTCGATTTCAGCCACATGTTTTCTGCCCAACTGATTTCAGCCACATGGCCAATCAATTCATTAAATTAAATTGTTTTTGTGTGCGTGCGCGTCAGTGGGTGTGTGAAAAAGTGAAGCGGGCTGTATAACTTTTATTGTGATTTTATATTTAAATACAACTAAATTTAATCCCGCACGATGTACAGGAACATTTGGCATATAAAGGATAAAAATAAAAATAATTTATAAAAATTTAAAAATTATTTTAATACATTTTTAATTTAAAATAAAATATGTTGTACTCTTTCTATTTTATCTTTATTATAGATATTTTTTTATTTTTAAAATTTATATAAATCTCTTTTAAAATTAATAGATATAAAATATAAACATTCGTTCTACTTTTAATATTTTATTTTCATTCACTGAGTTGTTAATTGACAGTTAAATTATATATGTTATATTAAAATACATTTCTTTAAAGATAAATATAAGTGTTATCTAAAAATTAATCATATTACACCCAAAACATTTGAATGATATATTCTTTTATATTTTTTTCATCCTTTAAATTTAATGATTATTGTTAAGAAAATGATGAAGAGAAAACTGAACTATTGATTAATGAAAATGATGTGATATTGACAATGAAATTAATCCTTCTCTTGAAGGATTTACCATACTAATTTGCCCACTTGGATGATTCTCAAACCCTATTTTAGGGACTAACTTGAGGTAAGATCTATGTTAACCTCCCTCTTGAAAGTGGGATTAAACTCCCTTACTCAACTTAACAATGTAATGCCCTTTATATAGACTTTTAGAGTCACCACCAAACCTAGTGATTAACTCTAATCATTTATAAGATTCCTTTATAATATTCCAACATCCCCCCTCAAGTTGACACTACTTGAACTTTTCAAAGTGTCAACTTGCAACCACACTACGAAGGGAATAACAACCATTGGAATATTAACAACTTTGATCAACTAGATCACTTACAAATTTGGTCAACTAGACCAATATTTTCAATTGCGAAATCATCATGAAGATATCTTTAACATACTCATATCTATGTTAAACCAGAGCCTTTCATTGTCTTCCTCAAAGGACTATTGGACTAGCTCCA